GGGGATTCTGCCCCTCTGCTCTGCTCTCGTGAGACCCCACCTGGAATACTGCCTTCAGCTCTGGAGTCCCCAACAGCAGAAGGACATGGAGCTACTAGAGCAGGTCCAGAGGAGGCCACAAACATGATCAGAGGGTTGCAGCACCTCTGCTATGGAGAGAGGCTGAGAGAGTTGGGGTTGTTCAGCCTGGAGAAGAGAAGGCTCTGGGGAGACCTTCCAGCACCTTCCAGTACCTAAAGGGGCTACAAGAAAGCTGGAGAGGGGCTTTGGACAAGGGCGTGTAGTGACAGGACACGGGGCAATGGATTTAAACTGGAATAGGGGAGATTTTGTTTAGATCTAAGGAGGAAATTCTTCACTCTGAAGGCTAACCCTCCCTGGTGCCAAGGGAATATTAAAGTTTACGCATCCTACTATAGCAGAAGTCAATGCAAGTACCTGGAGTACTTAAAAAATCAATCAGCACAGATACTTGTTCACTCAAAGGAGTCCAAGATTCTGCTCTGAATTGATGACCGCCTCTTGAAGGGATCTGCACGCCGTGGAGGTTGGGCTGTTGCTGAGGACAGCAGTATGAGCCTTCACTCACCAATGGAGTGCATAGGGTTGGTTTTTTTTTTTTTAAGGTGCATTTTCAAAGAAAAAAAGAACAGCAGCAGCCATGATCTGACTGCACAAAAGCATCCTGGCTGAGGTGGAAAGGAGGAGGGGACATGGATAGAAGACTAGTGTCCAGATGGGTTATTTCTGGCTGTGTGTTCAGTATGAAGAGGAACATGTTGTGATCCAAGCCAGCAGGCTGACTGAGTTGATGGCTTTTGTTCCTTTTAGGTTTAGTATGGGTTAACTTGGGCTTTAAAAAACATAATCAGTTGTCTCTCTGTTTTCTCGAGCAGATCTATAAAACACTATTTCCTGATGGATCAAGGGGACTTTTTTGTGCACTTCATGGATCTCACAGAAGAGGAACTTAAGAAGCCTGTAGACGACATCATAACTACGAGGCTAGAGGCTCTGCTTGAATTAGCCCTGCGAATGAGCACAGCCAACACAGATCCTTTCAAGGATGATTTAAAGGTAAGATTGTTAGTGGAAGTTAATTGTATTTGAGCAGGAAGCCTGCCGTGGTTTGGGAAGATCCGTGTGCCTGTAAGAACCTACTG